TCGTTCCCCCCCCCGCCATGACTTTCGACTGACATATTACAAGGGGTCCAAAAACACTACAAGACAAGATAAGAAAACCTTTATTTGTCTCACAATGGAGAAATTCCTAATTTACAGCAGCAAAATTATGAAAGGGAGAAGTAGAGGAAGAAAAAGTATATAAATAAATATAAATTATAAAATATTATATGCCAGATGTACTCTCCCGCCTCCATGATTCGGCCGATGAAGGATCGGAACCAGAGGCTATTCTTTCCAGTCAGTATTTCATGGGGGCATCGCAGTGGGACATTAAAAAGCATATTATTGACACCCAAGAAGATACCCAGGTTCTTGTCCTGCATGGAGGCTATTTGTGCCTTGCAAATTGCGGCCTGGAGGTGTTGCAGTGGAGGCCCGAATCTAAGCCACAAGGGAATCCAGCGTACCCACTCTCTCATCGTGCAAAGGTTTTGGTGGCCGGAAATCAAGGCTGACATTGTGGAATTCATTGGTTCCTATTCTGCGTGTGCCTGTGGAAAATATTCTCATCCACAATGTCCATTACCTCGTGGCCGTGGTCTTTTTATCTTTTGGCCTCGCTCCCAACATATTCCGGAGAGGGCTGATGGATGATTCATTGCCATTTGCCTACTGAGCCGCCTTTTTTGCTACATTTGTTCCTGAAAATGAAATTTGTTGATGTTTCCAGATTCATAATAGTGCTATGGCAGTGTTGTAGTGATCTAATATTGAAGAGAGTTAACGTTGTAGTGAAAACTCAACTCAAAGAGGTTAGTAGCTCGAGACCTATATGTGGTTACATGATACAAGATAAATACCTTTTGCACTGCTTTATTGTCCGAAGCAAGTTGTTTGTTAAAATGAGTAATTTTGATCCGTTATATGTTCAATTTTCATCACCAAACTGAATGTTTGGTATGTATCCCTGAACGTGTTGTCCAGCCCCGGGCCGGTGCCAGCCATTTTGGTGCCCTAATCATAAATGCTATGTGGTGCCCTTCCTGCTCCACCCCTGACAGAAATGAACAATATCTGAGTAAATCTCAGTTTTGCTTTATTATACAAAGTAACTTGTCCATATTAATGTTTCAAAAACTTTCACAAAAATAAGAGATAAATAATAATATTCAAGTCTTTATAAAACACAAAAGATGGCACCAAATTGCTGGATGCTGCTGCAAAGCCTATCGATCTGATGGTTGATGGCTGATCTTTACTACTTATGGTGGATGATTGCTCTTCTGAAACTTTCACTTGCACTTGAGTTCCTCCTTGAAGATATTGAAGCATTGCTCCTGTATTCAGAAATACAAGACAAAATATCCAAGGATTCTACAGTGAAATATAGCTTTGAACGATGGTACAAATATTTTCGAAATTAATCATATTATTACGTCGACCTATATTTGAAACACGGGCACTGAACATTTCAAAATTCTACCTTTATAGACAAGGAGTGATATGGCATTATATAAATATTTTTGACAATGTGAAAACAGTGAATATGAAAGGGAAAATATACAACTTCGATGGATCGATTTTTTTTTTTCCAAAATACAGTTTTAGCTATAGATGTCACTCTTGGCCAATAAACCTCTCAAGAGGTTATATGCATTCTCATTGCATATAAAACAACTTTGTCTCATAACATTCCATTAAATTTCCATAGTGTAATCACTGCGCAGGTCACTAGTTTTCCACAACAGTGTTTTGGATTGTTTTTGGCAAGCTTGTGTAAAACAATCGCCACGAGCATTTACAGCACGAGCATTTATAGCACGAGCAGGGACAGCATTTTTTTTCTTTTTTTTAGGACGTAAGGAAAGCCTACACTGAGATCAAGAGTTTTACATCATGTATTTGGAAATAAATTGAACTGTTGTCTGAACCATGTAAAGTAGGTTTTTGTAATTATCGCATTACCAAAGAGCATGTAAACGCATCATCTAAACATGGCGGTGTTTATTGTGGTGATCTAAACATGGCTGTAACAAAATAAACAAACAATTGTTATTTAAAACAATGTCTTACCTGCAAGAGACGCGTGAGCATCATCTTGCTGTTCTTTTTTTTTCCTCTTTTCCACCCCCGACTCTTGATGCCTTTTCGACGACATGTCCAGATATCCAAAAATACACTTCTGCCAAATTTGCGATTGAAGCATAATGTAACAAACTATGAGAGAATGAAAGAAAGGGGCTGGGGGCACCAAAGGTAGACAGACGAGATGTCCGCACAGGAGATTAAACTTTTTTCGCGAAAATAAGCCTACATTATTTTTGTATGACATATATTATTTAACATTCTTCAAAAAACGTTTATTAGAAATATTATATCCCATTATTATTCGAATTCTTTTTATTATGTTGTTGTTGGTTTTTGTTTTTGTTTGTTTTTTCTTTTAATGAGCTTGATTTTTTTGGGATGCCCCCTCGGCCGTTCATGCCCTTCACGCAAAGTATGCCGAGCCCCGTGTGCCTGGTCCAGCCTTTCATAATAGGGTAACTGCTCCTTTAAAAAACCTTTGGTTGTTTTCAACGACAGTCTGACCAGTATTTTGTCTTTCAGTGGAGAGTGGCAGAATAAATATTCGTAATTCCTATTTTAGTTTGTTGTAGTTTGATGTCAGCAAGGTCGAAATAGCAACTATGGCACAGTGAAATATCATTTGAAAGAAAACCTTTCAAAATTATTGTTGTGCCAACAGAGATTAAGGGACAAAACAATTGCTTTTAATGTTTACTGATCAGTCTGTCTTCTGAAAAGCTGGAACACCCAATTTGCTACAGTAATAGTATAGACAATATATTGCTGCATTTGATAAATATGTGTTCGGTACTTACTCGGTCAGGGATCTCCTGATGATGCTGTGGACTTGTTTGTAGCTGTCAAGCTTAGACAAACAACTGCACTGTGTGTGATTGGCCACACTAATAGTCACTGGCTTCGTGCCTTGGGCAATTGGTACTGTGATTTCAAAAAGCTGCAAAATGAAAGAATTGATGGCAGGTATTATAGTAATAAAACATTACATTAAAATGTTTAACCTCATTTATCTTAAAATTGTCAAAAGGAGGACACTTTCCATGGATCCATTCAGGTAAGGCAAAACCAAGATTGCTGGTAGTTGGATTGCAACAAGCAACGACAACAGCATAATAATCTGCAAACATACATTTTCACTTTCATTTTTAACTACTTTTTATGACGTATTTTTTAATGAAATAGATACGAAAATGAATTGGCTTATAGTTGTCCCTGTATATTCGCAGTTAAGGCATTTTTGCAGATTTGCGTATTCATATATTGCCCTGCGATTGGCTGGCAACCAGCTCAGGGTGTACCTCACAAGGTCGGGGGGCGTACTGGAGCCCATCCCAGCTGCCTTCGGGCAGTGGGCGGGGGACACCCTGAACCGGTTGTCAGCCAATCGCAGGGCACACAGGAACGAACAACGATCCTCGCTTACACTCACACCTAGGGACGATTTTGAGTGTTCAATCAGCCTGTCATGGATGGTTTTGGAATGTGGGAGGAAACCGTAGTACCCAAAGAAAATCCACGCAGGCCCGGGGAGAACATGCCAACTCTACACATGGAAGCCGGAGCCGGGATCTGCACTGTGAGGTCGCACAATGACACAATTATATATGTTGCTTTTTAGTTGTCCTTATTACTGCTTGTTTCATGAGTGTGTAGTGCAAGGTTGTTATATGCAGTCTTGGGGGTTACAAGTGTTACAAGGGTACATGACTGATCAGAATCTAGTGTCACGTGAGGAGCTGAATTTGGACCTAGAAGCAGACCGGAGATGAAAATGGCGAAGTAAAATTAATTATATGCAAAATTCAAAGTGAAAAACAGAGGGCAGGGCTAGACACAGGAATGAAAAACCAATCTAGTTCTGTGTGCCCCCCCCCCAAAAAAGGACCAAAACAACTGAGAACATCAAGAACCCAAAGAGCCAAACACTGTTAATAATCACAACACACAGGTCATTGTGAACTGGGCTGTGGTGGGCCGCACAGATGAAAGAAAAAGAAAAAAAAAATATTAAAAAAAAATATATATATATACACACACACACACACACACACACACACACACACACACACACACACACGCATATTCTGTTCTTGTGGTTCATTTACAAGATCTGAGGCAGAAAATATTTTATTTTGAAAAGTGACCGCATTCTCTCCATTACATCCGTTAATGACTGACTTTTGACACATGTTAAGGTGTCTCAGTCGTCTAACACTATTAAATCCGCAAACTGGCAAACTGTGTAACGTATTTTGAAAAATGTATTTGCAATGAGGCCCAGTGGGGATTCAACACAAGAGCCTCTGCCCGAGAAGAACAAGAAAGGTGCCATACCAGAAGCCCTACTTGTAATATGGACAGCTGATCCCCACGTGCAAAAAAAGCTTGCTCTGCACAACACGGAGTGAACAGCTCTCCAGTGAGTCTTTGAAGCCTTTAAAACTGATTATTCAGCAAATATAAGTGCCTTGAGAGCGTCACACTTGGTGGCTAAAACAATTGCAAAAGTTAAATCCATCCATTATCTAACCCTTACACACATGCGCCGACATTCGAGGGCATCCAAAACATAAAATATACAACACAGATTCACATTCAGGCTTTTTTTTCCCACACACAAGCTCTTTTGTTAAACTTGCAAGGTAAAAAAGATCAAGCATGTCAGATACTCTCCTCAATGTCTCATGAGACGGAAAGCTGCTCATTAGTCACTACCCACAGTCATCAGGTCAGCTGGAGAGGATTAATCTCACAACAGTAAGCTTGTTGAAGAAATATGTGACATTCAATCACAGGGACTGGGATACATTTCACTGGCACTCATGGCTATTAGAACCACACCACAACATTCCTCGGGGGTGCCCCCATTTGATATGATAAATGAACAATGAATGACACTTCCGATGCATCTGCTGTACCGGCCGGGAGAAGCCAACCTCGCTATGGCCTGCATGACTTCCCAGTACGTGGATGACTTGCAGGCCAACCCCAGAGTATGGTACTATTTGGTTACCAAGTGCTAACACTCTACATGGCCAGAAGGATCTCGTTCCTTGTGAGAAGGACCATACGGCGTTGTTGACAAAATATCACCTGACGTCTATCAAATCAAAATGAACAAACGGCGCAAAAGAGACTTCCTTAAGGGGGTCCACTGAAATTAAATTCAAGATCACCACGGTCCTGAACATTCTGGCACAGGACCAAGCAATCACCAAAGCTGCAATCTCATGAATCCAACCAAGGGGGCTGCATCTCAAATTCAGACCCGAAGACAACCCCACACCAAGCAACAAATGTGCTAACTCAACAGAACAATGACCAAGCAAAAGGTAGTGACTAAGATTAATGGCACAAAGTGGGGGAGGGTCAATACCCTGTTGTGCACACGAACCAATGAGTGACTTTCTGATCTTTGTACTGTAATGACCTAGTGTTGACAAAACTGCAAGTTATCTGTCTCATTACTAGAAAATCACGCTGCTAATGATCCTGATGTCGTGCATGACCATCGTAGTGGGACAACCCAAAATGGTTTGGCCTCAACCCCACACGGGAATTGTATTGAGAGACCAACCATGACTGCTCATGCGCAACATTATTTTCCCGACTTGACCCATGACCGGTGTACCTGAAACACATCCCAATCCGACCTTGGTGGGTTCCATACATGCGAAAAGCTATTTGTGGGAAGCCTACTCTTAGCTGCCGCATCACTTGGAAGCCTTTTCAGCTTCAGAACATAAATTTGAATATGGTCAAGAAACAAATTGGGGAACTTCAAGAAGAGATACCGACATCCGACATTACATGGCCAAACAAGTCATTAATGTACAAGCTCGAGGCGGAAGAGTTATTATTTCATTCCGCAATACCCGGTGAAATGTTAAATCAAACCAGACACTCACTGAACCAACTTGCATCCATGTTGTCCAATGAATGACATGCTACGTGAAATAAATATGTTTATGGACAATTTAACCATGCGCAGAATTCCCACGGACTGAGTATCCCTGAGTCTAGTTCAGCATGATCCAATTCCATCTTGCTCTTTCTTTAGGAAGTTCCACTGTGTAGCATGTCAATCCTGAGTTCCGCAAAGTGCGTTTCTCATCACTCTGCCAATCATCGATTCTCACAATTGCCGACAAAAAGATGTCATCAATGTTGGTACCTGGCAAGGGGATACCTACTTGAAGGTTAGTACATCCGAAGTCATCGGCTATCATAACAGCAAGTATGTGTATCCGCACTAAAGCAATTCAATACCTGGGTCTCAGCAAGCTTAACCTATTAAAGATGGATCAAGGTGCAAAGCCGAAGAAACGATACCAAGTCACTACAACTCCAGATTGATACGAACTCGCATATTGAGAATGTCAACCTGCACCATGTGTCGTGGGAAAATTACAAAAGCCAAATTTTGGAGTTGAAGTTTTTCAGTCAGGACCAACTCCACATAGATCCCCAGGGGCATGACTCTATACCAGGGGTGGCCAACCCGCGGCTTGCGAGCCGCATGCGGCTCTTTGGCCAGCTCAATGCGGGTCCCGGGCTTTCAAATGACAAACGTCGAAAACGCCTCGGCAGTGGCGCTGCCATTCAAACAACGGCGTTAAATACACAGAACTTACTACGTCAGCCTATCATCAATCCCATTACTTGACTGACATACAGGGCAACCGATCAGATGCAAACCGAATCACCGCTCATGCACAAACAACGGTGCTCAGCGCTAAACGCTAAGCTAGTCAGCAAATTACCTCAGATTTTAAGGCATGGGTGTCCAGTACGTCAATCATGTTCGACCCGGAGCCAGCGGACTGGTCCTCAGTCACGCGCGAACGTTGGGAGGAGGAATAGGGGCGAAAAAAACTTTGTGTTTCTGTGTGTTTCGATTCCGTTAATGTTCGGTGACGTTCTGCCTGTCGCTCGTGCGTGCGTGCGTGCTTGCGTATGCGCACATGTGCGTGGTTGGGCGCCCGCGTGTGTGCGTGCATGCGTGTGTATATGCTTGCACGTGCATGATCGTCGGTCGCGGGAGGTTCATAGCTTCAAAAGTCGATCTTCGGTCAAATACGTAGCAATCTGACCCAAGTAGTAAGTAACCACTGCAGCTCGTGTGTGTGTGTGTGTGTGTGTGTGTGTGTGTGGGTGTGTGTGTGTGTGTGTGTGTGTGTGATGTGGCTCTTTGCAGTCACACAAAAAAAAAAATGGCTCTTAAGTCTCTAACTGGTTGGCCACTGGTTGGCACTCTTTATTCTTGCACGTTTTTCATTTATCATTAACTGCCTATTGGTTATCAGTCCCATCAAACTGGGGTGAACTATTTGTCCAGTCACTCGTTGGATTTAATGTTTAAATTTAAGATGTAGGAGTTATCATTCCTTATGTTAGTTAAAGCTTGCACTCCACGCCTAGATAGTAGATACACTGCATGGCTCTGGACAAATGTGGACACTTTTTGCTCTGCTCCTGTTCCATTTTTGCTTGCTGACTTAGTTTATGTGCTGTCCCTTTGTCTAAAACTCTTTGCTCCCTTTGGGTTCCATTTTAAGGATACATGGTATTTTCTTCCACTGCTTTGCGGATGACTCAGATCTGTGTCCCACTGAGTAAAAAAGACTTTCTCATTGAGGTCACTTAAAATGTCTAAAGGAAATCAATACCTGGATGGCCTATAATTTCTTGAATTTTAATGAAAAGAAAGCAGAAGTGATGGCGTTACATCCCAGTATCCCTTGTGCATCCCATCCTGCGGACTTGGGTTCCCTGGCTTCTTATATTACGCCAACAGTCTCAAACTTAGGTCGTAAACTGGAGTGTCCCCAGTTGGTCCAAAATGCTGCTGCTCGCCTCTTGACTGGTACTCATAAGAGGGAGTGCACAACTCTTACTCTGGCATCCCTTCACTGGCTCCCTATATACTTTAGAGTG